AAAGAAAGAAAGAAAACAATGACTTTGACAGACAACCACGGCTTTGCAGCCTGGAATTAGCCTGACAAACTATAAACTTCCCTTGCTTAGCTGGAGAACTCCCAAGGGACACAGTTGAAAGGGAAGTGCTTGGCTTCCTTGGAGCGCTTGTATGCTTGGCCTTGAGCCTAAGATATATTACTCCGTGTTTTATTTTTATTTTATTTTGTTTCTAAAACCAAATAGTAAAACCATTCACATCTACAGTGTTGAGTATATAGCACATACTCGAAAGTTAGTTGTATTTGATATTTTCCTTTTTTTACTTTCATGGAGGGTTTCGTGCCTTTCCGAAGGCTTGATATCACTCACTGGGTATCATTTGATCCCCACAACAGCCTCTGAGTGGATGATACAGCCACGCTGGGTGTCGCCTGGAGAGAAGTCACAATCTATCAGAGGGGCAGTCACAGAGGCAGGCACTGGCAGGGTGATATGAGGGCATATTTATCTTTAGATAAACCCCTCCTTGTTTTGTTCCTTAAACTATCACATTATTTTTCCTCATTATTTTTTATTATTTTACCTGTTTAAAGTTTTTACCTATATAGAAATTTCAGATATACTAGAGGGTTTAAAAAAATTGAAAATTAAAATCTTCCATTAGTCTATCATTCAGACTTTGTGTTTTTTGGTATATTTTCTTAAACTCTCATACTTTCTCTGCTTACTATGTGATAAACAAAATGAAGGTTTCTTCCTAATGACTTCCTAGATCTTCCTTGCACTTGTAAAGTTATAAAAAATGCTGCACTCATCCTTAAATAGTAGCTATTGGTAGAATCGGATGAATCAAAGATTATTCTCTCCCCGTTTTCTCTCTTCAGGCAGCATGGCGGAAGGCCGGTCCCTGTACTGCAGCAACTCATCTCCAAGGCAGCTGTGTTCATAGTACTCATGGGAAAAAAAATAATAATTTTTTATTATTAAAATGAAAATGTAAAATAATTTTAAAAGGTTTATTCTGAGCCCAGTGTGCTTCTGACCAATGGCTTAGAGCACATGTTTTCTAGAGGTTGTGAGAAAATGTGCTCAAGGTTTTGGTTTTAAAGATTTCATGGAGATAAGAATTACATGGTAAGATCGTAAGTCAACACAGGGAAGGCGTACGTTGGTTTGGCCCAAAAAGGCAGGAAAGCACAAGGGATGGAAGGCAATTATAGGTAGGTTTAAAGATTCTTTCATTGGGCGGTGCCTGTGGCTCAAAGGAGTAGGGCGCTGGCCCCATATGCTGGAGGTGGCAAGTTCAAACCCAGCCCTGGCCCAAAACTGTAAAGATTCTTTCACTGATAATTGATTCAAGAAATGAAGCTTTATCTAAAGACTTGGAATATCTTAAATTAAGAATGTCTGGTAATCAGAGACAAGCCACCTGATATTTACTGATGGCCTGCAGGTGTGATTTAAGCTTTGCCTTGAATGGCCTTAGGTCCTATTAATCTTAATGTCACAAAGAGTAACCCCCAAAAGGGAGGGGGGCCTCCCTTCTCATGATAGGTAACTCAGTTTAAGGTTCATCTAGGGTTCATCTGGGGTGTCAAGAAGGGGTCCATTCACTCAGCTAGGAAGCTTAAGATTTTATTTTAGTTCAAAATCAAGTGAGACCTCCTTTCAACACATGCTACTAAGTAAGCATTTGCCAATTCAGACATAAGCCGTGTTGAAGTTTGCTTCTGCATTCATTTTGAAAGAAATGCTAAGCAAATGGAAAAAGCCGACAATACTTGAGCGAGCCGTTAACCTTGAGAAAACTGTTCATAGACTTTTATAACTAGCAGCTAAAATTTGCTGGTTTTATTCATATACATAATTGAATAAAAGAAAATGAGGTTTCCTAGTGACTACGAGTACCAAAAATATTTCCTTAAAATACCGCTGAAAGAAAGTACAGTTTTCCAAATGCCTTAGCTAAATGTAATGTGTATTCTAGATTGAACTCAAAACAGGAAAAGGACATGAGTGGAAAAACTGATGAAATCTTAATAAGTCTTCTGTTTAATAGTATTTTGCCATCGTTATTTTCTTAGTGTTGACAAATGTACATGGTTATGGAAGATGTCCTGGAGGTTTTAGTTGGGTGTACAGCTTCCACCTGAGCCTCTATTCCCTATCACACCTGCAATTTGGTGTGGCCATGCGACTACATTTCTTTAGCCAGTTGCTTAAGTAAACAAAAATGATATGTGCAGCTTTTGAGTTGTGCCCCTAAAGG